TTTCCCCTCTGTTCCCCCCTCTACCCCCCCAGCTTCATCTCCTTTTCCCTTCTGTTTCCACCCCCTCTGTTTCCCCTCCGTTTCCCCCTTCCCACTTCTTTCGTCCCTCTTTTCTCCCCCTTTCTCCATCTTTCTTGCTGCTCTCTTTCCCACCTCTTTTCTCCCCTCTTTCCTGAGTCTAAAGTAAGATCTCTTGCATGGCTCTCCTCTCTCTCTGTCTGTTTTGTGATGCCACATGCAGAGTCGGCAAGAACAAGTGCAAGTCTCAGCAGCACCTGATAGGCTCCATCTTTGTGTGAGAGGCAGGCTAGTCTGTTGCTGCTTCTATTATGTACTACTCTTGCCGGCTCCCTTGCAAATGGTCTGCGGAAGTGGTGATTGTTTCAAATCGCGGTATTGAATTACAGGGATCACAAACGACGACAAAGACTCGTGTGTGGACACACTCCGAACAACCACGCTACCACTCCTGAAGCGCTTTGGTGTTACGACGGAAGGCCTGGAGCTGAAGATCCTAAAGCGTGGCGCACCTCCTCTCGGTGGGGGAGAGGTTCTTCTGAAGGTTCCAACAGTCACCAAGAATTTGACAGTAAGTACAAATCATCCTTCCTTCTCGTATACTACTACTCGTCCCGGGAATGTGGTTTTGAAACGGCCGTTGCGTTTATTACTCTCCAATGCCTCCATTAATCACCGGATACTGGGTCCAGCGTCCTTGACAAATTATCCCAAGGATTACTTGCCCCTTCTGCACCCCTTCTGCACCCCTGCTGCACCCCTGCTGCACCCTTGCTGCACCCCTGCTGCACCCCTGCTGCAACCCTGCTGCACCCCTGATGGTATGTTTTCTGATGGGCCGGGCAGCACATCGCATCTGAAAAAAGAGGCTCGGACTCCAGCTACGGACAACAAGCCTGAAATTTACATGAAAGGCAGACCTTCATCACTAAGTTGTCTTCGCCTTCACGCCTGCCTTTAAAAAAGGGGGTTTATCATGACTGACGTGAAGTTTGCCAAAAGAGCAGTTGAGGTCTATGTTGCACGCCCGGCCGCGGCCGGGGGGTCCAAGTCGGCCGCGGCCTAGGCCGACCAGCCGACTTTGGTGCAAGATTTTTTTTTTTTTTAATGCATGAAAAAAAAAATATATATATGGGCGTGTAGGGCTAAAAAAAACCTACACTCCTATATTTTTTTTTTGGAATCCGACTTTGTTTAAGATTTTTTAAAAATCAAAAACTAAAATCGATTTAAACAAAATTAAAAAAAATATATAAAGAAAAGAAGGATTTTTTTTTGGTCATTTTTTATCATGAGATATATGGTCCGTGAGTTTACCTGTATTTTTTAAGAAATGAATTTATGTTTTTTTGCAGAAGTATGAGGTGTTTTGAAAAAATGCAGATGCAAAATTAAAAAAAAAAAAAAAAGGGGTTTGATTGATTGATTGATTGATTGATTAATTGATTGATTGATTGATGGTGGGGGAGGAGTCGCCCCACCCCCCCGCCACCCACCATGTGCACACACACACACACACACACACAC